ATCCACTCACCTCAGCCTCCCAAAGGCGCGGGATTACAGGCTGAGCCACCGAGCCCGGCTCTAACTTGCATTTTCTTTACCAAAAATTTGTATCTTGAGTCAGAGTCTCACGCTGTCAGTCAGGTTGGAGTGCAGTGGCATGATCATGATGGTCTTGGCTCACAGCAGCCTTGACCTCTTGGGCTTAGGCAATCCTTCCACCTAAGTAGTTGAGACTACAGGCATGCACCACCATGCTTGGCTCATTTTTTGTGGAGACGAGGTCTCGCTAAGTTGTTCAGGCTGGTCTTAGACTCCTGGGCTCAAGCAATGTATCCATCTCAGTCTCCCGAAAGTGTTGGGATTATAGGTGTAGACCACTTGTACTTGGCCTCTTTAAACATTTTTTTTTACTATTTTTGGTAAATTCAGCAGAATTTAATGCCTCCCTTTACTCAGGTGGACCCCCAAGGCTCCTTCTCCAGGAATCCTCCTGCCCTCTCCTCTGGGATATTTGAGGGCTTTAGAGGCCCAACAATGAGTCCAGGCGATCTCCCTGTCCGGAGGAGGATGGTGCCCAGAGTGGTCAGTGGCCTGTCCAAGGTGCCCAAGGGAGTCGGGTTATGGTGGCTGCAGTCCTCCTTGGCCTCAGCCTGGGGAGAAAGAGGGCCTCAAAGCCTCTGGAACTGGGCTTGGCCTTCCCTGTCCCCTCCTACTTCTCCTCAAAGTTGCCATCCCAAGTCAGTCTTCTGAGGGACTGGGGCTGGAAGTGAGTCCCTATGCTCTGGGTAAATCTGAGGACAGAGAAATCTCCGTCTCCATCCCCCCGCCTCACTCGGTTTGATAGTCTGTGTTTTGTTTTCATTTTTTTCATTTGGAGAGGGACACTCAGGTACTTTGAACAATAAATGGTGCTGTGAACCCTTCCTCCATCTCCAGCCCTCCTCTGTGTCTCTTTCTCCTTCAGTCCCAGGTCCAGTCCCCTGCCTAGCACCTATCCTAGGCGTCACAGGTCAGCTGGGTCAGCCCACTGGGTTGGGGAAGGAACTCTTGTGAGTTGGCCCTTCAGGCTGACTTGGCTCTGGCCTTGCCTGCCCCATGGCTCGTCCTGCCTCAGTGCTGGCCTAGTGGCTGAGGACCCCTCCTTGCGTCCCCAACCCTGGGTAGTGTGTCTGTATGAGTCCCAGTGGAAGGATGGAAGGTGCCTCTCGGAAGATGGAGGAGGATGTGCCCTCCAGAGAATCTCGGAGTCCAGAGATCTCAGGGACCACCCTTCTCTGTGCCTCATCCTTTGCCCCCCACCCCCACCCTGCCTCAGGAAACCAGGCACAAGCAAGCCTCTGGCACTCACCAATCAGTCATTCAATCAGTTCTTCACTTAGCTCAGTGCTTCTCACATGTGGTCCCCAGCACCAGTATCACAAGGAACTTGCCAGAAATAGAAATTCCTGGGCCCTACCCCAGACCTGCTGTGTTGGATAACTGTTATCACCAAGCCCTCCAGTTGATTCTGGTGCACACTCAAGTCTGAAAGTAAGGACAGTTGCTCCACGAACTTATCAGTTAATTAATAAGTGAATCAAATAATGATTGAGCCCCTACTATGTGGCCAGTGCTGTATCCTCTCCTTGGGCCATTCTTCCCAGAGTTATAGGTACATATTTACTAACAAACACCCAGACCCCAAAAGCTACCGGCATGCACATTCTCACACTGGCATGTGCCAACCAATGCATGAACACATGCACGAAGACTTGCTGGCATGTCAAGCGACAGTGATGAGAACGACTGTGATGGTGAGGAGGGGACATTGGTGGAAGGACACTGCCCAACATGCAGGTATCAGCTCAACTCTCAAGGTTTGTTAGGGAATCTGTAAGCAATTAAAGTGGTTTCTGATGATATCTTACAGCCTAATGAAGGCCTTTCTGCTAGCGGCTGGCTAACCATTTGACTCCAAAAATGTACATACAAGATTCACTGTTCCCAGACTGTCTTCAGCTTGTTTTTTTTTCTTTTTCTTTCTTATAAATCCTGATTTTTGCCTCTGTTCTTCTTGGACTCTGTTTACCAAAGAACTGTCCCATATGAGCAAACACTAAGAACTAGACTGTGGTAGGTGACCAGACATCTACATGAGTTGTTCATTGGCAGTGTGTTCACTCAAAAACCCACACCCATTGCATATGTGACAGGCACACCCAGGCATAAGGCATACACTCGTATAGGCATGTCACATGCTCACACACTCCATATTCATATACAGATGCACACACATTCAGAGAGTCCATCAAACACACTGGCATCCTAATGAAAAATAAAGCACAAGAGATGTGACTGTCCAGGCTCACTGGTTGCACCAATTTGGGATCATTTGATCAAAACCTGTCCCCACTGCCACCCTTCCTAAGAGCCCCTTCAGTTTAGACCCTGAGTCATGGTTGCCTTCTTAAATGAAAAAAAAAGGGAAAAGAAATAGGTCTCTTCCAATGTCTTTATTATTATTATAATATCATCATCTTTAGTTTTCAAAAATATAAATAGGTGCACGGAACCCTGGTGCCTGCACGGTCCCGGGGGTGGGGGGGGGAGAAGGGTTGGGTGGCACTCTTGCTGGGAAGTGCCCCCACCCAGCCCTGCCGAGGTGACACCTGTTAGGGTGGCAGACCCAGGTGAGAGAACACTGGAAGAGGGACCCTTGGAGCTAACCGGACCCTGTGCAGCGGAAGGTTCCTCTGCTGGCTCTCCTCTGCCCGCTCCCCCTCGGCGGGAGGCAGGAACCTGCCCCTCTCCCCCAAGGCTTCTCCCCCCACAGATGGTACAGCCCTCCTGGCTCCTTCTTGCCCAATACATTCAGCTGAGGTCAGGTCCAAGTTCTTCAAGCCCTCCAAGCCCTGGGGCCTCTGCCCCTTCCAGCTCCTTCTGGCCCTCCTCCCTCCTCCCTAGCTCTCCCTGGAGGTGAAATAACCAACGATTGCACTGCTCTTGGATAAAGTCAGGAAACAAAAATAATCTTCTTTATTTAACTTAACCCTTCCCCTTCTCCCCTGTCCCTGCACTGGTCCCTGGAAAGGCACGACGGGAGATTGAAGAAATGTCTCTAAACTCAGTCCATGGGTTACAATCAGTTGGCTTTGCTTTGGCATTTGGGGGACAAATTAGATGTGTTTTTGGTGATTTGGGGGGTGAGTGGGTGCATACACAATGTGGGATTTATTTTTTTGCTTCTTTAATGGGATTCCTTAAAGGACAAAAAGCAACAAGAAGAAGACACCATCTGGGTGGGATGCACCACCAGCCTGGCTGGCTCCTGGACTCAGCATCCCAGGTGCATCCTGGAAGCTCCTCTCAGTGGGCCCTGCTGGGGTGGCTCCTCCGCAAGGACCGTGAGCTCCGCTTCTGTAGTCTGCGTTTGTAGGTGGCGGCTGGGGTGAAAGGGAGAGGAAAACACATTGGTGGCCCAGGAAAGAAAGCGTTCAGCCTAGGCTCTCCCCAGCCTACCCTCTCTCTCCTGTGGAAACCAGGACTCCTTAAGGCAGCCAAGGCTCCACCAACTTCCCCGGTTGGTGCTGATTTTTCTTTGAATCTCCTTGGGTTAAGAGTATTCAGTAGGTGTTGAAAAGGAAACCACCGGTTTCTCCTTCATCCTCTCAGTGAAAGTGAACCCTCTCCCGGGACTGGCACCGGGCCCTCCCTGGGGGCAGGAGACAGCAATCTGTGACTGAGCAGCCCTCTGACCTCACCACCCTTGCTCAGCTCTGCAGAGGGTGCGGGACGCCCGGGAGAGGGTGAGGCACTGCTGGGCTCCACGGACAGGGAGAAGCCAGGCTGTGCTGGCAGAATCTAACCCTATGCCCAGTGATGGGTAGGAGGGATGATGCTCACGGTCTGTGCAGGTGATCCGAGGCTCCTCCCAGTGCCCGTTGGGCTGGCACCGTATGGTGGGCACGTGGCGCTGGACAAAGCCCTCAGTGCACTGGTACCGCACCAGGGAGTTGATCTCGTACCGGTCTTTCTTCTGCCCAAAGGTCCTGGCATGCTCCACCATGGGGGGGTCCCCACAGGCCACTGAGGGACAAACACTTGTGAGAAGGAGCTCCCGTAAGGACTTTAGTGATGCCCCACACTGGCTGCGACCCAGGGCATCACAGGAGGGGCCCTGAGCACCGCCACCCAGTGATGAGCCCTGGGCATTTTCATGTCGTGCTAAGAATCTGGAAACCATTGGTTCTAACCACTGGTTCAGTGACTTAGAGCAGCTGGAGGACAATACAGAGGGAGGAGTCTTAAGGGGATGAAGAGAGGACAAGAGGGAGGATGACAGCTATGCAGACTCCATGTCTTCTTCTTTTTTTTCTTTTGTGACAGTGTCTTGCTCTGTTGCCCAGGCTGGAGTGCAGTGAGGTGATCATGGCTCGCCACACCCTCGACCTCCTGGGCTCAGGTGATCCTCCCACCTTAGCCTTCCTGGTAGCTGAGACTACAGGTGTGTGTCACCATGCCTGGCTAATTTATTTGTTTGTGTATGTATGTGTGTATGTATGTATGTATGTATGTATGTATGTATGTATGTATGTGTATTTTTGTAGAGATAGGGTCTTCCTATATTACCCAGATTGGTCTTGAACTCCTGGTCTCAAATGATCCTCCCTTTTGGCCTCCTAAAGTGCTGGGCCATAAGCAGAGTGGGTGGGACGTGTCCTACCATCACCTTGATGCCCAACAGACTTAAAGCTGAAGGCGCAAGACCTAACAACTGCGACTCTATTACTGATGGACTTGGCCACCCTTAAGACGGGGAGGCTCCCAATTTTTTTTTTTTTTTTTGAGTTGGAGTCTCACTCTGTCGCCCAGACTGGAGTGCAGTGGCCGCTCCCGGCCACCGCAGCCTCGACCTGCTGGGCTCCGGCGATCCTTCCGCCTCAGCCTTCCGAGTAGCTGGAACTACAGGCGCGCGCTACCATGCCCGGCTGATTTTTTGATTTATTGTGGAGATGAGGTCTTGCCTGCCCAGGCAGGTCTCGAACCTGCGGACTCAGGCAATCCACTCACCTCAGCCTCCCAAAGGCACGGGATTATAGGCTGAGCCACCAAGCCCGGCTGAGGCTCCCAATTGAGCAGCCCTTGTGGGTCACCTTCCTCTGCTGCTATCCAAGGGATTCTGTGGAGTGTGGAGTGGGAGGGTACCATTCTCTAGCCTTGTGACCTTCATGCATGTACTGTCCCTGCAACAGCCCCTGAGAACAAGCCTGCCCTTGCCACTGGCCTTGGTGTTGCAAGGGGTCCCCCAGTCATTGCCAGTGGACTTGTTGAACAGGTGAGGAGACGTTAGCATCTGAGAGACAAGGGACTCTCTCCAGGTCCCACAGTAAGAGCCTCACCTACAGCAGAAAGTCTTGATCTTATCCGCTGCAGGCCCCTCTTGGGACCCACTTACCAGTACCCTTTTTACACGTGAAAGGCAGGTGGTAATTGCAGGGGACATCATTCCACTCGCCCTTCTCATGCCAGATCATCACCACGCAGTCCTCTCCAGTGGCAAAGAAGTTGTCGGGCTGATTGGGGCGCCAGTTCTCAAATTGCTGTGGGGAGGAATGGGGAGGGGGTGAGGAGGGAGCAGGGATAGCACGACTTGGCCTGATCCCACTTTCTTTCCGTGGAGCCTCTTTCCCACTTCCTCTCTCTTTTAGCCCAACTTCCAGCTTAGCTGGTAACGGTACAAAGGCTGCAGGGAATCCTGCCAGGGTTGTAAGCACTGTGGATCCCCCAGGGAACTGGTCACACAGCCTGCCCCTCTTTTTTTCTCAGAAGCTCAGAAACCCCAAGACTCACAGCTCCTGTCCATGAGCTGACTCTACTCCTTTCCACAAGGGGTGCCAAGGGCTGACCACACAGGCTACTTTGCTTAGGTAGGGCCAGATGGAAGAAATGTGTCTCTCAAGTCCCATCTCTGCCCACCAAGAAGCCCCCCATCCCCAAGCTTATCCCTCCAGCCTTGCTTCAGGACAGAGCATTCTGGGGTTTCCTCTAATTTAACTGTTTTTCTCCCACCACCACCCCTTCAAATCTGGCTCTTCCAGGGAGCCTTTCCTGGGTCCTCAGCCCTTCCCTGACCTGCAACCCTGACTGCTCATACATTTAACATCTATGTTGCTTTCTCTCTGTCTCCTCAAGTAGATTCGAGTCTTTTATGGGCAAGAAACCTCTCTCTTAAGCTTCCATACATCCCTCATGGTGGTATGCTGCTATTCCTTCATTTCCTTCCCAGCTCCCTGCCTTGCCTCGTGCTGTCATTCACTGAACCAGTCCATCTTGGGCTGGTCTCCAGAGGCCGAGACGAAGGGGACACAATTCCTGTCTTCGAGGGCTCCTGGTCCAACAGTAGAACCCATGGGGCCCCCAGGGAACTGGTCACACAACCTTCCTCTGTTTTTTTCACAGGAGCTCAGAAAGAGCTCAGATAAAGATACTCAGTGCGTATCTGCACGGGGTCTGAGGGCGTCTCTCTCTGGGGGTCTTTATCCCAGCCCCTCTCCTCTGGGCTGCTAGCTGTGCCTGGTATCCAGAGCAGAACTCACCAAGGAGTGTCCATCTGACCAGCGGAAGTCCCCTTCGATGGTCCTGTCATTCAGGCCGATCCACTGGTAGTCTTGAGCATTGTCTGGAGAGAGGATGAGAATATTGGGCCTGGACACCTGAGAGTGTCTGAGAAACTTGAGCTCATGGAGGAAGAGGGGATGGAGTAGGGAAGAGGTGGATGGGCTGCTAGGAGCAGACCACCTGTTCTTTCTTTCTTCTTTTTAAAATTTTTATTCAGGGTCTCACTCTCACTCAATCTAATTTTTTGATTTTTTTTTGGTAGAGACAAGGTCTCACTGTATTGCTCAGGTTGGGCTTGAACTCTGGGGCTCAAGCCTCCCAAAGTGCTGGGATTTCAGGTATAAGCCACTACACCTGGCCTAGGTCATCTGCTTCTAAGGTCCTCACGAGGGTCTCAACACACGTGTGTCTGGAGTGCACTTTGAACCAGCTCTCCAAGCTGGCATAGGCAGATGACAGCCACAGGTTTACTTGGGGCTGGCTCTGACTGGCAGTGGGCTGCCTCGGGGTGAAGCCAGAGCTGCTGGCCCCCAAAGCTTCTGTCTTCTTCTCTCAGGGAACTCAGACTATGGGAAGGAACAACGGTCTTTCTCCCAGCTCTACTCCTACAGCCTCACTGGGCCCAAGTCTGCTGACTTCTGAAAGGCGAGGCCCTTTGCCCACATGGCCACTCTTCCCTCAGGCCCCAGAGGCCCTGCCACACTCACTGTTGACAAATTCCTGCTCCTCAGGGGTGACGATGCTGCTCAGGTGTGACTGCTGCTCCCGACACCGGCTCTCCGCATCCACCCAGGTCTCGCGGTCAGGGAAGTGGCGGTAACAATGGCCCTGGAACTTGGTCCAACCCTCCTCGCATACCTCCTGGTCTGCAACACAGGTCAGGGGTTTGAAGGGCGGGGCCCGAGGCTGACTGGGGACTGATGATGCTGCCAGCCTAATGGCATAGGTTCCTGCACTCACCCTGCCTTAGACTCTGTGCCCTCAGGGGTGGGAGAGGCCCAGCTGGAGAGAGGTTCTAGTGGAAACCAGGATTTTCTGGCCCAGGAGCCTCTGAGCATGCTCCCCCTCTGGGAAAGGCCAGGGACCCTTTCTTTCCCTGATGTCACGCCTTCCCTGACTGGCTCCCTCCCCAGTGTTCCTCCTGTTGAGGCTGACTCTGGAGGACTGGCAGCGGTCAGCAGGCCAGGTAAAAAGAGGTGGGGCGGTGGGAGGTTTTGAGATTTAAGGCAAAACGTGGTTCCACGGCTCCAGGGAGAGGGGTGGAGCTGTGGGAAGTAAGTGAAGGCAGTGGAAGCCAGCAGCACTGCGACACCGAGTGGACCTGGCAGCTTCCTTCCCACAGAACCTTGGGTGGGGCCAGAGGATCAGAAGTCAGTCCTTACTGAGTCCAAAGAAAACTCAGACCTCTAAAGGCATTGATCAGTGCTGATTCTAGCTGAGTGCCTACTTTTAGAGGGTGAGACAGCCAACTGGGCGTCCATGATCCTGGGGACCCTGGGTATTGTTTTGGTAGCAAATGGGAGGAGAGTAGATGCTTCTCTCCTCACAAGTCTAAATTTGTAAAGGGTTCTCAGTTCTGGAGTAGGGACTTGGAGCAGCCTAGGGGAATGGAGGCAGGGACATGCTGGAGCCGGTCACTCAAGCTTGAGAGAGCCTATCGTGTCTCTTTCCAACTCTGCCTCCAGTGACATCACATTGGTAGCTTTAAAGTGGGTCTGGTGGGAGCATTTATACCTCAGGAATTGGCAGATGCTACCAATCAGGGCTCCCTCTTCTGTGAGAGCTGGTTGTTAAATATCTGCCAGTACAGCACTGGACAGAGAATTCCAAGGTCCCCCTCTTTCTTCTTTCCCTGGGACCTCCAGGAGTAGCACCCTGGGGCTGAGTGGGGGCTATGAACCCTTCAGGCTGTATGGCAGCCTCCCTGATTGGGTGGGTGCCGCAATAGTCTGGCTGTGTCAGGAAGCAAGGACCAGTACTTGCGGGAAATACATCTTAGGCTGAAGGGGTGAATGCTTGGCAAGGTGGGGGAGGGACAGTTGGGGACAGTAGAGAGAGAGAGGAGGTTGGAAGGCCAGCAGCCTGAGAAAACACAGAACAGCAGGAGGGGCTGTGGAGGGGCCTTTGGTACTTCTGCTACCAACGCCTTCCCAAGTGGTGAGATATAGGTTGGAAAGAGGCAGAGAGGCCTCAGAGGGCCAGAGGTATCATCCCAGGGCTAACTTGTGGGGTCCGTTTTTGAGCCCTCTGGCTGCCTGAGGGCTGAGTTGGGCAGGCAGAGCCGGAAGGTACAGCTGCTCTGGAGGGGGGTGGGCAGGGCCATGCAGGATGGAGGCTCTGAGGAAGCAGAAAACAGAATTCCAGGAAGGCTGGGAGAGGCAGGGACAAAGCTGAAGCAGGAGGTGCCCATAGGGTGGCGAGGATTTAGGATGAAATGGGAGAAGAGATGCAGCCCTGCTGAGTTGGGCACCTAGGCCTCAGCTGGGGGACTCTGGTTCCATCTCTCTGCTCCATCAAAGTGCAGAGCCCAATGGGGACCTTGCCTTCATTTCAGCAGAATCCCCTTTCTTAGTCTGGAACCCAAGAGCTGTGGTCTGCATGAACGTTTCAGACCCTTCTCCTCTATGGCAAATGTTTTGGCATCTTGGGGAGAAAAATCCCTGTAATCTCCACTTCCACTCCAACCAAGATCCCATGCACCAATTTCTTGAGATCTTGAGGGTGAGGATGGAGGGTGGGAGGCTGCGAGGATAAGAGGTGTGTAGGCCTTTCTTCCAGAAGCCTTACATCTATAAGCTTGGCAGTGCCTTCAAGGAATGCAATCCCAAACTACCTTTCTACACTGCTTAAGACCAAAGGGAGACTTCCTGGGAGTTTCAGCTACTTTCTGGAAGTTTCTGGCCATCCAACTTCAAAGTTCATTGAAAAGGGTTTTGAGCCCCTGCACACTTCCAATTCTGCATGGGCCATTGCTACCAGCATCCGAAGGTCCTATTTCCCCCTTTCTGAGTTGGAAGCCCCCGAGATCCAGGAGGCTGGGGGGATACTAGGGAACACCCCAGGTGAGAGGGCTGGATGCTCAGTATGGCCCTGGGAGAGCTCCTGGCCCACAGCTCTCCTCTCGGCAGAGCTGGCGTCCCTGCCCAGGTGCAGAAGCAGAGGTGTTGGCGAGGCCCAAGAAAGGAAAGTCAGCTCCTGCCCCTCACAACAAGATTCTGTTCTCTCTGACCAGTCATTTGCCTTGCACGAGGAAGGGAGAAAGGAAATATGGGCCAGCATGGCATTGACACAGCAGCTGTCATGGTGGTGACGAGGAGAAGGTGACATGCAGCAGTCCCTGTTCATGCATGACTTGAGTGTGCTGGTGACATGAGGGGTCTCAGGCAGACCAACCATAGCTCTCGCCCCAGAAGAGGAAGGCAGCATGGCCAGTGTGACACAGTGGCTTCTAGGACCATGAAGGGCAACAAAGGTCCCATAGGCAGACACATGCTCATAACCACACTGAGAAGATCTGTGACTGTCATCCAGAGTGAGAGCCAATGACTCTCACCCCATAGCTTCTTTCAAGACAAATGCATGAAATCAGCTCTGTCCTCTTAGTCTGACACATGCATCAACTTCGGTGGTGGCATCAGCAGGTCTGGAAGCCCTGGAGAAGGTTAGTGTTTGAAAGGTTCCCAGAGCCCTACCTTTCAAAGTGCAGGATGGCCCGACCTGCACATCTGTCCTATGGTCAGATCAGCTAGTGCCCCAGAGGAGGGTTTTCAAGGGGGAGAGTAAGAGAAAGAGTGGGAATCAGTGGGACAGGCTTTTCAGTTGTGGCCCCTGGAATGGCTGTCTGGATGGATCTTGGGGGTCCCAGCCAGGGCCTGGAGCCTGTGGTTAGAAGGGAAGGGTAAGGGAGGAGGAGGGGGTGCAGCAGTTAGTAACATTAGCTGAAGCCGAGACGGCCGTACCGATCTCACACAGGTCCCCTCTGTAGCTGGGAAGGCATAAGCATGTGAAAGCGTCGATGGCATCCACGCAGGTGGCTCCATTCAGACAAGGGCTTGAGAGGCACTCATCAATGTCTGCAAGAAACCAAGGGCCACCATTAGGACTCCTGCTCCAACTCCAGCCTCACAAGCACCATGGTATCCTTATGGGTGGCCAGCCCTGCTGTTCTCCAGAGCCCTGGGAACTGGCTGGTTTTCCTAAGAACTGTTGCTGCTGCTGCTGCTGCCGCCATCTTGGAGTGCTGAAGCAAAGATCCAGACAAGGTTTTCTTGGATGTGTGTGGTTCTTGACTGACAAGCTTGGAGCATGGAGCCATGTTTCCTAGTGGGTTGATGCCTCCTCTGGTGAGTATTTCAGGAAGCCATGGGCTCTGAACTGGCTGTGAACTTGGTAGTAAGCAAGGATGCTGGAAGTCAAGTTCTTGAAGCTTGGATAGGGCTCTTTCTTTTCCTGGCTTCCTTTGTAGTTATGAAGGAGAAAGAGAGCAAGGTTGTGCAGTGCTAGAATGAACAGTCTAGAAATTATCTTCAGAGTGTAGCTCTGTAAGAAAATGGCAGTATGGAATATCTGTACAAGATTCGATAGACTTCTTGGGTTGCAGACACCTTCTTTATCTTCAGTAAATAAGATTCTAGAATACCTTTTTTTTCAGTCTCCCAGAGCGACATCAGTGACATCCCTCCCTGGGAATATATCTTGTAAAAATAAGCCAGCATCTTTCTGGCCGATGCCAGAAATCCTGCTCAATATTTCCCTTATGTCTTTCTAGCTGAAGGCTTCAGAAGGCAGATATCTTCAGTGAATCACACTTTCTAGAGGGACTCCATCCTGGCCAGTGGGAGACAAGTGTTTGAAGCCAGGGTGGTGCTTGGTGAGTGGCCACCCACCAGCACCAGCTGGGATACAGGCAGATTCCCATCAGCTTCATCTTCTCAGGTACCGGCTCTTCTTTCCTTCTATTCTTTTGGTCCCAAGATGTTCTTTCTGATCAAACTTCTTTGTGGTATTTGAATGATTAAGTCATTGTTCTTTGCCTCAAATTTTCATCAGTTAGCCAAGGTGAGAACAGAATCTTCTCATTTGGTCTTTCCTTTCTGAGAAATCAGAACATTTGGGGGATCTCTTCTGCTCTCTTTGTATTTATACTTCATTGGCTCCTGCTATCTTTTTTCCCACTGGTTTTCCTCCCCTGGGAGCATGACAAAAGGTATAATGAAGCTCCTCTTGCCAAGAGATCAATAAAATTATTTGCTGAGTAGGCTCCATGGCTATGGGGCTCCATGACATGTGACTTGAAGATGCTAAGCCTTGGTATGTGCAGCTGTGTTCATACAACCTTCAGGATCCGACGACATGTCTGCAGGTGGTCTGCACAAGATAAGCCCTGTGCTGGGAATAGGTCCCCAGAGTCCTAAATACATGCCAGGATATAGTTCTTGCTTCCTATAAGAGCAGACCAGACCTTAAAGTCAGCCCTCTGGGAAGAAGGCAAAAGCATTTTCCTCCAGATCCTAAGGCTAGTGCACAGTAGACATCTCCTAAGCCAGAGCTGGGTTTGTGCCTCAGGTGGCCTGAAAATTCCCAGTTCTCAGCATTTTGCTCGTCCCAGGACGCTCCTAATCTCCGTGTATGATGTGTTTCATGTTCCACAAAGTCCTTCACTTCATCTCAGGGAGTGCACACGTGGACTAGAAATCAACAGTTCCGTGTTTGGAACTGTTCCAAGCAAAACCAAAATGCATGGAGGAATGGGCTGAAATCCCAGCATGCACTTGGATTCCCAGCATCCCCTAGGATTCCCAGCAGCAGCAGTAGCAGCAATAGGTCAGGCCAGTCTGCAGGGCAGAAGCTGGGGGCCGACTGTCCT